CTTTGAACATGCATCAAGTAGAAAACCTATTCAATAATCAATAGATCAGATGAATCCACTTCTCTTTCCTTCTTTTGCTGCGGAAAATAAAATTGAAGACTTAGTTTGATGGAATAACTTGTTCTATAAAAAGAGAGATTTGTGAATTTTATGAAAGAGTGAACAGGATAATTGGAAGACAACACTAACTGTTATAGCTAGTTCAGCAATAAAATGAATGACTCAAAGTTTATTGAAGGTCCATAGTGTTGAAATTGGCCACATTGAAACTGAATTGTAGCAGACAAACTATTTGTCTACGATCAATTCATCATTTTCGTTATTGAGTCTGAAAATCATTGAAGGAGACTGAGATGTCATAGTGACTGGAAGATTACTGACCATCGAAGGTAAATATTCAATTGGCTCTTTTATTTGTTAGATGAATTCTAGCACATGGAATAAAAGTTGTCGGTGGATAAATTGTTATCATTAGCCTATAATAGAAGACACAGACTAGGAGTTGCTCTTGACGTCCACTCTGCTATCTGTAGTCAATGTTATAAATTCTATCGATAGCTTGACTAGTAATTGATTCCAATCACTTGATAGTCTTGGGTTTAACTTAATCTTGCGGAAGATAAGGTAAGCACACATTCAAGTTCTTAGGATTTATTTTCTATGTATACAAATGTTATTTTTCATTCTGGGTAGATCAGCCTACACATTCCTTTCATATTTTAGAAAGTATAGTTGTATATTTATTCAAGAATTTTGCATAGGTAATAAACCCATAGCAACAAATTTGACAAGACTGTAGTTAATATAGAAAGTTTTAATCCAAGACACGTTTGTAATTTTTCCGAGTCCTCTGGTTTGCTCCCACTTCTAAAGACCCGTATATGCTAGGGAATTATTGAAATAAAATTGAACCATGTTTTAGTCTCGAAATGACCTAGTTTGTGTTGAGTGGACTTAAACTACAGGGCTCACACTTCAGGATCCTCATGGTAGTTGTTGTTCTTAGTGTTTAATGTCCGCTTCCACCAAAGGTGATATCGCAGACTATCGCAGCGTAGGGATCTTTCCTGTGGGAGAAGGCACCCCTATCTTCAAGCCACATACGCTCACACTAGGGATGGAAACCACAACCGCAAGCACATTTAAGGAAATAATTTGGTTCTAAATTGCCTTGTCTATTAACCACTATTATCTTCTCTTCAATCATATGGCAAATCTTTTCTACAATATAATATTATTTAATAGTTGAAGCTCAACTCAAATTATTCTCTCATATCCAAAAGTTATATTTAATTGGGTGCCAAGCACTTTATCAAATCGATATTTACTTTAAGAATGACTACAGACGTCAATCGAGTAATCTTTGATTAAAAAGTGTTATTGCCCCTGTCTTGAAGTCATAAAGGTAAAGTATACCACATTACTATTGTCCAAGATGTCATCAAACATTAAATTTTCCACACTGATCAGCAGTGAATATTCGCTAGGCCGCGACAATCACTGATAAGCATGACATCGATGCGACTTAATGAGCCACAAATATTGACTTTTTTCCTCCGACAAATTAAATTCTAAAACTTTTTTTTTTTAATGTATTATAAAAATAAATAAAGACGTTTGTAGTATATGTAGGTAAAAATTATTTCCTATTTAGTGTAAATGGGTATTAAAATGACTAAAATACTTCATTCCGCCCGAACTAGTAATGTCTTATGTAAACAATGCATGCACCATTGAGCCAATGATTGACGCCGCGTGATGAGACGTCACGTGTGGAAAGTAGTCATCTTTTACAGAGATATTAGAAGACTTTCGTAATCCTCTGTGAAACAGATTGCAAGTTTTCTAGTTGAAATTTGCAAAATGGTCACCATGCAAGATTCTCTTCAAGATCCAGACAGAAAGACCTCCATTTATAAGTTTGTTAAAATGGTCATTATACAGGATTCTCTTGAAGACCCAGAAAGGAAGACCCCCATTTATAAGTTTGTTCATATCCATGTCATATAGGCGAAACCATTGCATAGTAAAATATATAGAAATAATTTTGTCTTTAAAATGAAAAATATTATTGGATTCTTTGTTTTTATAGGCCCACATGTCCAATTAATAATTTATATAACAATTAAGGCCCAAAGATAGACCTGCAATAGACCTGTTTAAACAGGCAAGAGGTAAATCTGCCTATTGCAGGTCTTTCTGTAGGGCTTAAATGTTATATAAACTATTAATTAGACATTTATTAACCTGACAAGACCATAATCAAGTCTCGATCGGATAGGTTCAATTTTAAATAGATTACAACGGTTCAGCCATTTAATGATTTAATCTAAAAATGGTGAAGCGAAGCAAAGCTTAGAACAACCAGTATAGTGGTTACAATCACTGCACACATCTTGTCAAACCTTCAAAGACTAATATATTTGCTCAGATTACTCAGAATAAAGTAATTTGAATGAAATTTTCAATATATTCATTTTTACATTATCTATTTTTGAACTATTATTATAGCAAGATCGACCAGCTCTTTATCTAAATCTTACAAAATGTATCTTAAAGTAAGCTTACTGAATCCTACACTGTAGAGAATTAAATGTTTGTGTAGGCCTAGTCTTTAAGTATGGCGATACTAGACTGTACAAATTAACTTGTTATGGTGTGGAATGTCTACTGTGTCTGTAAATTAACAATGAATCTCAACATTTATTCTAGGATATTTCGTTTTCATTGATTTGATGCTATATAGAGCTATATTAGTTTTCTTGTGTCATTGATTTTAGTATGTTTATTTATGTCTTATTATGTATACGTTAGTCGATGAATTGTTTAGTGATATAATTGGGAGATTTGTTGGCCGAATGGTTAGAGCATGTGTGTTGCATCATAAGGTCCATCATTGAGTCAACTGGCGTGGTTTCGATTTTCCTGGTTGTACATGATAAGGAATAGGGTCAGCTGTTTAAACCCCATTTCTCTCTCTCTCTGTGTGTATTGTATTTAATTTATGCTATTTGCTGTTAAAAATGTCATGAAAATCAATTCATAGACATAGGATGATGATATGTTTTATCTGAGCTGTATTATTTTGGTCCATCTATTTCCATGATATTCTGGGGATCACGGTGGCTAAGTGGGTAAGGCGCTGGCTCGCTAGCCTGGAGGTCGGGTGTTCGATCCCTGCATTGGCCGAGAAAGTTCATCTCGATTTTCCGGCGCGGTTTCCCCTTGTGAGTGATGCAGGACGGAGGGCCTGACAAGGACAGCTGTCTAGTCATTCGGATGAGACGAAAAACCGAGGTCCCGTGTACACATTGGCGTGCACGTAAAAGATCCCTTGACAGTTGGAATTCGATATAAGAGTAGGCCGTAGTGCCGCTGTCCGGGCAAAATTTCCCTCATAGCACACTGTATGGCATATGCCCGTCTTCATTAGCCCAGTTTGGAGCAAAACAGTAGGACGTTAAACCCCATTTCATTTCATTTCATTTCCATGATATTCTGGGAGCAGCTGTGACTCAGTGAGTAAGATGTTGGCTCGCTAACCTAGAGGTCCTGTGTTCTATCTTTGTGTTGGCCGAGAAAAATCATCAGGTTTTTCTGGCGTGGTTGCTCTTGTCAGTGGTGCAGAACAGAGGGTCCTGGCAAGGGATAATGTATAGTCGTTCAGATGATGCGAAAAACCAAGGTTGTGTGTACACATTGACATACACGTAAGAACCCTTGACATCTGGAAATCGAAAATGGAAGGCCTGACAAGGAACAGTATCTAATCATTCAGATGGGGCCAAAATCAAAACCCCTGAGGTCCTGTATACACATTGGTGTGCATGTAAAAGATCCCTTGGCAGTTGGAAATGAAATTCAATTGCTCATAGCACACTGTACATGGCATTTACCTGTCTTCATTAGCCCAGTCAGTCCGTGCAGACCAGTAGGACATTTAACCATATTTCATTTTATTTCCACCACTTGTCTGCGATATCACCTCGGTGGAAGCAGACATTAAATAAAACTATTTCACACATATTTCCACCATACTCTTAACAACAGAAAGACAGCTAAGACAATTATCTCGGAATTTTAAACACCTAACTGGAATTACGGAAATTGAACCTTGCTAAGAAAAATGCATTTATTTTTAATGCCCCAGAAAGGTGCCCCATCATATTACTGGGGTGATTAACCTAGTGCATTTGACCTTGTGGGTGAACACAGGTATAACAATACTCAATTTTGTATCATAACCTTTGAAATTAATTTTATGCCTTCCCCTTTTTTTGGTTAATGTTTCTATGGATATTTAGTTATCAGGAGGTAAATAGATATTCACATATCAAGAAAAAGGGAAAAACCAATATAATGAAGTTTTGGTATTAAAATGTGTATCCTTTAACTGCTTTGGGAATTAAAAATGTATTCATCTGACCTGTTTGGTACTTTCTAATTATATTCTACCACTGACTGGTGAACATTTCAATTTACTGCTTCCCATAGTGTCCATCACTCTTCAACACAATCTGATTATAATACAGATCTATATTTTGTTTCGTTTCTTATACTTTCGTTGGTTTCTACTACATGAAGATCTGACCGGTTTTAGTGGGAGGTCGCATCAGAGTTCATACAAGCGGCTTTTGATCCTATGACATTAGACATTTGGTTAACCAATCAGCATTGATGTTTCTAGTGGGTAACTCAAAGTTCCCTGCACCTCACGCCAAAAACTCACCATAACATCATCCAGAATGCAGGTTATATAATAACTCTTCCAGATCCTAGTGTAGTAAAGACAAGTAAAACAATATTTTGATAAAAAAACGAAACGAAATAGGATCTGTGTTTTAATCAGATTGCAACTCAATATCCCCATTTTATGACCAAATAGGAATATTTACAAAAAATGACCTCAACATGCGTTACAATTTGTTATGTTGAATAACAATATTTGTTTTAATTTAAAAAGCATGTTTTATATTGATTTTTGCTTTATTTCATTTCAGTGACGCTACTGCAGGAGAGATCCGCTGTCAGAAATGTTTACAGAAAGGTCACTGGACATATGCTTGTACGGGCAAACGAAAATATGTTCAACGTGAATCACGATCTAAAGAAATGATAAAACGGCAGAAGAAAGAAGAAGAAAAAAAGAAATTGGAATTATTGTAAGTTGTGGTTACAATTATACAGTGAATGCGACAAAAATCAATTATTTTAATATATTAATGTTTGCTTCAGTTAGTAGACAATTTTTGTGAGCTGCAGTTAATTCAGTTAAAAAAAAAGCATGTTATTTCCTTCCTTTTGCAGATTCTTATAGAATTATGTTAGAATTCTTTTCTTTTTCTTGTATTCCCGTCAGTTTAGGTTAAAGAAAATATTTTCATAGTCATAGTCCAAATCAGTTGCTATTTCTGTACTGGGTAGGGGGTTGGATGGCCGAATGGTTAGCGCGTCGCGTTGTATCATAGTGTCTGTCATTGTGTCAACTGGCGTGGTTTCGATTCCCTGGATGTATGTGACGAGGAGTAGGGTCGCCTTGTCCAACCTCGTGGGTTTTTTCATGTTCTCCGGTTTTCCTTCCACTGCAAAAGACCCCCTACCCACAAGCGAATTATTGATAGAAAATTGAACAAAATGTTGGTCCCGAAATGACCTAATTTGTGTCCAGTTGACTGTAACCCCTCTCTCTCTCTCTCTCTCTATAAAACAAGGTGTTAGAGGGGGTTTTTTTTCACAATGTTCAGCTTATCAATCTATCTCCAGTATTGTAGAAGGAAAGAAAATGTCAGAAACAAAAAATTATTTTTCAATAAGCATAAAGTAAAATTTATCACCCAATAACACATTCGCTTGTGTGCTATATTTCATAATCTACTGCGATATCTCCTATTCGCTTTACATGAATTTGATTGGTCAATTAAAAAGGAACTACTTTTCTATTTTCTTTTTTTCAAACAAAAATTCATTTTTTTATTAAAAAAGAACTATTTTTATTCAATTGACTTTGATGGAAAGCACTGGGTCAATATGAAAGACTTTGCAATGATTGAATTTCTTTTCTTTTTTCTTTTTTTCAAAGAAAAATTCATTTTTTATTAAAAGCAACTTCTTTTTTTATGAAAAAAGAATTATTTTTATTTAATTGACCTTGATGGATAGGACTGGGTCAATATGAAAGACTTTGCAATGGTTGAATTGCTGACAAAAAATGATATATCACTACGCCGTGAAATCTATAGCAAAGAATTATATTTATTTATTTGTGCATGTAAGAAAGTATTGGGTGATAAATAAAATCTCCTACTCAGCTTTTTTGATTTAAAAAAATATCAACACTCGTCGGTAAAGTAAAAAACAAACTCGACAAAGCCTCTTTTTTTTTTATTTTAACGACCTGTGTTGATAATTTTTGATATCCAAAAAGACGAGTAGGAGATTCTTTATTTACCAGTAATTGATAATAAATCTCTTTTGAGGGGGATCACGGTTGCTAAGTGGGCAAGATGCAGGCTCGCTAGCCTGGAGGTCGGGTGTTCGATCCCTGCATTGGCCGAGAAAGTTCATCCAGATTTTCCAGTGTGTAAAGTGCCCCTGAACATGTTATATGAAAGGGTGCACTATAAATATGCTGTAATAATAATAATAATAATAAAAATAATATTAGATTCCATATGGGTTTGTTAGTGCTGACACTGTTCGACACTGTCTAGGCTGTAGCAGACTGAACGCTGTCACTGAAATCAATAATTTTAATTTGGATCCAGATTTTAATTTTGGGTCAGTGTTAATGTCTTGTTTATATATTGCAGGGCTAAAAGTTCAAGTTTACAAGAGAAAAAGAAGAAAAGCAAAAAGTATGTTGAAAATATTACTATTACTTCTATAGTTATTCCTATATCTGGGTGTTTAATATTTTAACAATCGGTGTACAGATTACAACAGTGATTATTTAGTCGAAAATCTTGTGGAATGTCTTACCACATAGGTGTATGGGGGGGGGGGGCTGAAAAGAAATTTTTGAAAAAAAAAATGGTTTTTTTCTATGTCCAATATCTTGTGGTACTCTTGTGGTAAAAAAAAGACCAGAGACTAAAATCTGGTGGATTACACTTACAAGATGATTGGATAAACTATCAATGTTCCAGCAAAATAAATAGATAATTCCAAATGCCCCCAAACCTTGCCAAGATGATTGGATAAACTATCAATGTTCCAGCAAATAAATAGATAATTCCAAACGCCCCCAGACCTTGCCAATATCTAAGTGAGAAGGAATTGATTTTCCCAAAATTGTCACCAAGCACTACCATTGAATATGTGTATCTGTAATCGAATGGTACATGCAAATTGTAACTGCAGTTGTCGCTCATAATGCTAACAACTCACAGACACAGGGACATTGTAAGTGATAAGAGAACTATCAAATCCAGTGAGTGAACTGATCCAAGAGTGTTTAATTATTGCTTACAGTAGTTGCCTGGCTAAGCTTATTTATCAGAGTTATGCATCATGATCGAATGAAATGATCTGTTCCAATGTATGGTTTTCATTTGCAGATCTGATGGTGAAAGTACAGACAGCAGTTAACTGGCTAAGCTTATTTTTCATACACAAAAAACACATACTTATGGAAAAACAGCTACTTATTTATTTGGGCGACGTTTCGAAGAGTATTCTCTCAACGTTATCAAGCGTTGAGAGAATACTCTTCGAAACGTCGCCCAAACTGATAACGTTGAGAGAATACTCTTCGAAACGTCGCCCAAATAAATAAGTAGCTGTTTTTCCATAAGTATGTGTTTTTTGTGTATTGCTCTACCCAATTACTAAATGCCTCTTAAAGCTTATTTTTCATGATTGAATGAAATGATCTGTTTTAATGTATGCTTTTCATTTGTAGATCTGATGGTGAAAGTACAGACAGTGACTCGAATAATTCAGCAGATTCAGATAGTGATAGTTCTACGAGTACTAGTGACTCAGATAGTGATAGTTCTACATCTGGTAGTTCAACCTCCAGCTCCACATCTAGTTCATCTTCATCCTCATCATCCTCCTCATCATCAGAAACTGAAGATACTTAATCTATCATTGATTCTCATCAGAAACTGAAGATACTTAATCTATCATTGATTCTCATCAGAAACTGAAGATATTTAATCTATCATTGATTCTCAACAGAAACTGAAGATACTTAATCTATCATTGATTCTCATCAGAAACTGAAGATACTTAATCTATCATTGATCTAATCTGTCGTTGAATCTAAGCTGTCATCATCAGAAACTGCAGATACTTAATCTGTCATTGATCTAAGCTGTGATAACTGATGGACGTGTCTTTCATTGTGTAATGTACAGATAATTACCTTTTAATATGTGAATGACAGATTTTCTTAATTGATGATAATTCACTGTTTTATCTATATACATGTTTTTGGAAGCCATTAAGAATAAGTAAAAGAAATTTAAGCTGACATGGCGGTTTAATAATAATGTGTAAATTATTTGAATCAGCAGATAATGGTCGATTTTAGTGAGATATAAGTGAAAAGGACAGCATAAATGCTACTGTTTGTTTGTTTTTGTTAAATTAACCTTTTATTAACAATATTCAAAACAAAAGGTCAAATTAAGTGTCAAGAGAAAGAGACCTCTGGTTTGTTAAAATTCTAATTATGGTATTAATCTGTTTTCACTGTGACTGTTTGAAAAAACAATGTCTGGCCCAAGTTCTGTTTGTAAAGGAAAAAATGGATAAGATAGGAATCATAAATGATTGATAAAGCAAGAAATGGGACTTCTTTCATACATTTAGGCCATACATGATAATATTCTGATTCACAGACAATCCTTACCAATAATCTAATATAGGAGGGAGTTTTTATTTTTGTATTTTATTTTGTCAAAGGATCACTACAAGACCGAATGGTTAGCGTGTGTGCGCTGTATCATAAAGTCTGTCATTGAGTCATCTGATGTGGTTTTGATTCCACGGTTGTACGTGACAAAGAGTAGGATCGCCAGTCCAACCTCGTGGCGTTTCTCCGGGTCCTGATTTTCTCTCACTGCTAAAGACCCCTACGCGCAAGCGAATTATTGAAATAAAATTGCTCCATGTTAGTCCCAAAATGACCTAGTTTGTGTCGAGTGGACGTTAAACCTTGTTTCTCTCTCAATAAATGTATCGTTATCCAGTGTCATTTATGGTTGTCAATAACATAAAGTCCTGTGTAAGTAAAATATCCCTTGGCAGTTGGATTTCGATGTAAGAGTAGGCCATAGTGCCGCTCTGGGGCAAAATTTCCCCGCATAGTACATTTTATGGCATATAATTTTCTTCATTAGCCCAGTAGGACGTTAAACCCCATTTCATTTCATTTTGATTTCATTTCAAAAAGCTTAGATACAATGCAGATTATTAAAATTGGAAAAATAAATAATTTTATGCGATAATGCTCTAGAACGTAGATAATGACAAGTCTACAAGTTGAATAGTTAGATTTAATCATGTGGTCTTCAGAAAATTGATTATTGATCAATAACTGTTATTATTGATCGGTACAGACATGCAATTCTTTAGTGAAATTTGATAAACTTAGGATAATAGTCACTGACTACGGTATTCACAGAAATAATAATAATAATAATAATAATTGACATTTATAGAGCGCCAACATCCAGCTAGATTAGCTGTTATTACAACAACAACAACATAAAAAAAAGAAAAAGCGTCGTTAAAAAAAAATGAGTTTTTAGTTTCTTTTTGAAAATGTACATGTTGTCTACATTTTTCAGTGTTCGTTCCATCATAGTGCTGGAGCAGCCACTTTGAAGCTTCGGAGACCAATGATGGTTTTCAGAGATTACCAGGTGTTCTATGTTTATTAAAACATGTTGCTTATGTCATGTACAGTTATTAACACTGGTTTACTTATTGTATTTAGCAAATTATATTTTGGTTACTATTTATTTGGATAAAACCAGAAAACGATCATTGTTGGTCATTTATTTGCATAAAACCTAAAGACTAATATTTTGTGTCATTTATTCAGGATTTATGTCCATGTATTTCACAGAAAGAACAAATAGTTTTTACATTTTAGTATTATTCATTTAGAAAAGCTCATATATTTAATATCAACCAATTATCATTGAATAAAAACAAGGTGCCAGAAAAGGTGTTATATTTTTCAATCATAGTGATTTTAATCTAGTTTGTATTTTATGTTTTTGTGACATGTCATTTAGTTAAAATTAGATTTTAATCAAGAAAGATCATATACATACAATTAGATCATTAATTAAGTCTGATACAGGACAATACTATAATTATTATTGAATTATTAGTTTTACTGGTACATGTATTTAAGTATACTGCTATACCAGTATTTAAACTTTGGGCATATTATGGTTAACATATAAAATAAATTGGAGCGGATCACGTATGTGGTAACTGTTAATTGGCTGAAATTTTGTAAGATGTTACCTGGTAATACTTTTCTTTACTTCAAAGCAAATGTTGATGTGTGATAAACAGTAGAGGATGATAAATTTCATGTATACTCAAGTAGGTAATTCAGGTTAAATAAAGCCTAACTGTTTTGTCCATCTTTATGGACACATTAGCCGCATGATTCGCCCGAATCAAACATGTTTGATATATTTGCCTAGTGTGTCCGCTTCGCCGAAGCAGTCACCCGAATGTAGAATTCATTAGTCAATCACCACTCATCATCCACTCACATCGAGAAGTCACATGATTGTTTGAAAACATGGTCACTGCCATGTTTAATCACGTGACGTGAAAGGTGATGCAATCAACTGATGAGTCGGGTGAATGATTCGACCAATATGTCCACCGCTTTAGGAAACCATTGAGCTCACTGATCTAACTTTTGATGAGCTGTAACTTTAATACCGAATGATTCGGTCAATGTGTCCACCGCTTAAGGAATCCAATGAGCTCACTGATCTAACTTTAGATGAGCTATGCAGTGCACAATGTCAACGATATCACCCCAGGTGGTGTGGACGTAAAACTCCAGGAGCGACCGTAATGCACATAAAACATCCCTTGTCAGTTGGAAATCAATTAACTAGGTGAAATTAACTTGATTTGAAAAGGAAAGGGAAAGACAGTTTTGAATTATTTTCTTGGCAAACAAGAGGAAAGTAGAAAGTAGACACATTGTAGTTTAAATAAATCGAGTTAGTAATGAAAATTCAACAATGCTTTAGATATTCTTCTCTTGTATTTTTAAGAAATTATACATGCTGATGTTAAATATAAAAATATTTTCAAGTATTTATGTATTATTTATCCAACATGGACTGCTTCTTGTTTTATTGTATTATATAATAATTGTATACTATTTGTTATAATATCAAGAATAAGGAATTCTTGAAAATTATTGACCAGTTATTATTATCTTTGGGTTCGGGATAAAAAAATTATAAATATCATTTGTAAATATTTTCATAAATAAAAAATGTTTTAATAAATCATAATCAGCTTTTTAATGTGTTAAATTAAGCAGATTAGCAGTGTTGTGTGGGGCAGCAAGATCTAAACAGGATGTTGGGATGTAATTAAGGCCGAAAATAACTTTGCCTCAGGAACAGAGAGAGAGAGAAATGGGGTTTAACGTCCACTCGACACAAACATATCGTTTCAATTATTTGCTTGTGTGTAGGGTTCTTTAGCAGTGGGAGGACCCGGAAAAAACCCACGAGGTTGCACAGGCGACCCTACTCCTCGTCAAGGACTACCAGGGAATCGAAACCATGCCAGTTGACTCAATGACAGACCTTATGATGCAACACGCATGCACTAACCATTTGGCCATCCATCCCCCTGTGAAATGTCTGGTAGTTTTAATTTTACAGCAGATTAAAAAAAATGCGGTGAAATAAACAAATCCTGATCATCAAATAACAAAAAACAAGTAGCATTTTTCGGTGTTTGCCCTTCCCACTTTAAGACAACACTTTACACACTATGAATAACATATACATTGCTAATAAATTAAATATTTGGAAAATTAAACAAATATTTCATCACTGACACCTTAAACCTACACAGATCCTATCTCGGTCTATTTTTTATAGTTCAAAATTTCGTTTTACTTTACAACACTAGGCTAGGATCTGGAAGACTTGTTATATAACAGGCATTCTAGCTGAAGTGAAGAATAAGCCAATGAAACGGTCTGTTCAGGCGAGTTCTTGGCGTAAATTGTGGTAAACCCCTAGAAACATCAACGCTGATTGATTAATAAATGTAGGATGTCATAGGGTCAAAAGCCGCTCGTATGACCCCTGACATAACGATCTTCACGTAGTGTAGGCCATGGAAAGTATAAAAAAAAGGAAACGAAATATAGATCTGTATTCTAATCAGATGGCTTAAACCTACAACTTATCAACCTTATGTATAGAAGACATTCAAATGAAAAAGTACAGCAGGGGAGACAACTTTGTTATTGTTGAAAGTCATATAGGAGGCAGACCACCATTAATTTCCCCATTAGATTTTACTTTCTCGAGAAGGGAAATGCAACAATTTCAGGTTTTGAAAGATTAAAATTGTGTTAAGCCAGAGGAAAACAGCAGCAAAATGCAGTTCACTCATGTTTTGAAAATTCTAACACACCTAAGCAGAACATAATTTGACTAAATTTCTTAATTTTTAAATTTTAGCCAAACACATGAATACTTTTTCAATATCTGACAAACACATGGATCCTTTCCAAGTTATTTAACAATAAAAATAAAGACATGCAAGACATTTTGGTTCATTTTACAACAGATGAATAATTAAAATTTTGACAGCAATATTGGGGGTAATCTAAAGAATTTCAGACAATTTATCATGATTTTTAGGCAAAATTGAGTGAAATTATGATGCTTTCTTCGCATCTAACCTTTATGATGCAGAAAAAGTAAAAATCATACATAAAAATATTTTCCACTAATTTTGAAAAGTAAATAAACACTGAAAATCACAAAATTTGGACTAAAATCAAAATTTCCCCTCCCAAATTTGTCAATTTCCCCATTGACTTCAATGTTAATTCTGGCCTCTTTGCCCACCTCCAACTTTTCCCCAAATTTTCGTTGGGCTGAATGCTTTTCACTACAGACAGAGGAACAAATGGTCATGTCTTTGCACTAAAATTTGTATGAGGTTGACCACCAAAATTTTGAGATACACAAACTTGAAGAAGCATACTAAAAACCACACTGATCCGCAGTGAATATTTGCTAGGCCGCTACAATCACTGATAAGGATGACATCGATGCGGCTTAATGAGCCAGAAATATTAACTTTTTTCCTGCGACAAATTAAATTCTAAAACATTTTTTTTATGTATTGGAAAAATAAATAAAGGCGTTTGACGTATTTGTAGGTAAAAATTATTTCCTATTTAGTGTAAATGGGTATTAAAATGACTAAAATGCAGCATTCTCTCCGAAGAAGTAACGTCTTATGTAAACAATGCACGCGCCATTCAGCCAATGATTGACGCCGCGTGCTGTGACAGCACGTGTTAAGGCAGACATCTTTGACACAGATATATCACTAGACTCGTAATTCTCTGTGAAACAGATTGACTAAAAACATGTAACTAGTTGCCGTACATATCGCCGTAGCCAACCTGATAACCCCGTTATCCTTCCGCCTCAAAATCATGAATATTTACCAAAACCTGGCAGAAAATGTTAATTCAAACCCTCTTCGTCCATTCTAGACCAAAAAATCAACAAAAATGGGCATGCAAAAGGGGAGAAAAGAGAGAGAGAGAGGATTGCTATAAATAGACGAACTACATTTAATGGTGGTCTGCGTCCATAAACAAACATTTATCAATTGACACCAATTTTAGGTTAAAGCAGTTTATAGAGCTATTGGAATAAAATGTAATTCAAATGATTATATTGGGAATATGTGATCCTTAGAGTTCAAGTTCTTTTGTTGAGTACTGACAATAATAATTTCAGAAAAACACATCAAGGGGGAATAACCCTGGGAAGTTCAGTATTGTGCTATTCCTCAACCGCTTGCTACAAGGGATTAAAGCACAATTTATAATATATATTATGTAAGATTTAGATAAAGAGCTAGCCATTCTTGCTATAATAGTTTGAAAATAGATAATGTAAAATTAATAATTTGAAAATATCATTCAAATTGCTCCATTGCGAGCGAAGATATTAGCCTTTGAAGGTTTGACAAGACGTGTGCAATAATTTCAACCGTCGCACTGGTTGTTCGAAGCTAAGTCTCACTCCTCCATCTTTAGCTTAAATCAAAATATGGCTGAACTGTTCTAATCTATTTAATATCGGAGAAATCCGATGCCATCTAGAGTTGATTATGGCCTGGATAAGTTAATTAATGTCTAATTAATAATTTAGAAAACATTTCAGGCCTAAAAAAAGACCTGCAATAGGCAGATTTAGCTCTTGCATAATGTTGTTAGGGTGCCCTACCATAATGTATGTTTAACATATCATTTCCATTTTATTGATTTTGAAGGGCCACGTACATTTTATTCAAGAATTCACCATGCTGTGAAAAATCTACATTTTTCATGTTTAATATTAATAAATTTCAAAAAGAAGGATATAGTTTTAAAAAAAGTCTTTAAAAAATATGATGGAAAGTTGCAGATTCTTTGTGACCCTTTGAATCTTTAAAAATATCCCAGGTCATAAACACAAAAAAACAGAACAAAACACTTTGTGCTTTAAGCCATCGATGCAGTATACAAAAAACTGTTCTCCATGATGTTAACGACTTCCTTTATATGGAATATTTAGAAAGTGGGCATATATAATATATTACACATTATACAGTTTTATTCCTCATTCTTACATATATGTGATTAGTCTATAAAACCGATGATAAAAAGCTACAATAAATTTATGCTTTAAATACTTGGCTTGGATTACAATCGATATCGACTGTCTATTTATGCTTTAAATACTTGGCTTTGATAACAATCGATATAGACTGTCTATTTACGCTTTAAATACTTGGCTTGGATTACAATCGATATAGTCTGTCTGTTATATGATATACACTGTAGCTGAGAAGATTAATGAATATATAATTTCCACACAACACCAGAAAGTAATCTTGGTTGTATGATGTTAGCAAAACTGTACATTTAAATACAAAATCGTGGTGTCTTTACTGCATGTATATATACTAGTATAATACTAGTATATAAAGGCATTGTGTCATTTTTCAATAATACTTCTTCACAGTTCAAAAGTCTCTTCCACAAAAGAAACAGTAGTACTAGTAAATTATTTTTGTTTCAAATTTTTTAATTTTGCAAGATTCTCTTCCACTGCCTCTTTGTTTGCTGTATCCAGTCTTTGTTTCTGAGCGGATATGTCATCAATACGTCTGTTCCTTGCTTCAACTACGTCATCTGCTATATACTTTCTGAAATTAATAAAATACCAGTAGTCAGTAACAGGTATTAATTTTATAAATTACTCAAAATTGTTCACCGTATTTTAACTAAAATATGGCCTTTTATAAAACTTTTGTTGTTTTAATGTATCAAATAAATCAATAAGAAACTATGTGAAAAGTTTTGTGTTTCTGGATCAAAGACATTTCTTATAAACAGTGATTGAAAGTTGAGTAAATTCTTAACTTTAGTCTGAGAATGCTTTGGGAACTCGGGGCCTGGTTATCCAGGGTGTCAGTGACTAGTTTCGTTTGTATTCAACTCTTCAGACCGATTAGACTCATGGTGCGGGGCCGTTTTATTTATACTATTCTGAAACCCCGGAATAGGTATTAATTTTATTTACCTATTCTACTGGCTACTCTTTTTAACTAAATGTGAAGTGACATCTGGAGCATCAGGCATTCCAGACAAAGTAAGAAAAGCCCTTTCAGGACATTGTAGACTTACTTGCTTTTTTAAGCTTTCTACAAACCCTTGCGCATAGGGGTCTCTAGCAGTGGGAGGACCCGGAGAAAGCCCACAAGGTTGGACTGGCCAACCTACTCCTTGTCACGTACAACCGGGGAATCGAAACCACACCAGTTGACTCAATGACAGACCTCATATGATACAGCGTGCCCATGCTAACCATTCGGCCATCCAACCCCCTTCCCTTGTATAACACAGATGTGTATAAAAGTGTCAGGTGGCAATAAAAAATTGAAAACGTAAGGCGTGGCAGAAATTTGGAGTTGCATCTTGGAAAAGGTAATGGTTTAGCTTTTGAACAATGTGTAGACTGTAGTATTGCCAAAGTATTGATTCGGAAAACCCTAAAAACCTTTTTGAAGTTTGGAAAAAAAAACTTGAAATGATACAATAATACAGTCATAGAGTCTTATCTATCTTCTGACTCTCACCTGGATGCCAACCTTTCCGATAGTCTTCAAAAAAGCCAGAGGCAAATATTTCCGACTAAAACAATGTGGTAGACCATGAATACAGTTGAGAGTAGGCTTATTAAACTTTTACTTTCATTTGACATTGTCGGGGGATTATTTATTTATATATGTTTTACCTATAAGTTAAACCTGCAATTGCAAATCCTAAAAGAGTTGCTCCGAATGAAAGTGGAAAAAATAAATATCGGTTGCTTCTCGTCCCCATTTTAATTTTAGATTTTAAATGTATTCTTTTTTGTCCTTTTCATAACTAAACAACACGACTTCAACCAGAGAATGACCTTGACATTGTTTTGTTATCCTACCAAGAAGAAAAGTTTTGATTGGTCTGAACACGGATGATGACAAATGAAAATATATGTTACAACTATTATGTGTTTCTATTTTAAGAACTGGCCATGTGCGCGGTAGAATACATGTCAACAATAATATGCAGGTCAGTTGAGTAACTGGAGACGATTGTGTCAGCTGATGATACACTTGTGGTACGTTATTATGTGGTGCACTTTTTAAAAATCACTCCTTGTTTTAGCAGATTTGATAAACTGCTTTGACTTTGAAATTTTGTTAATTTAAGTAGCAATCTTTATTCATGTTTATAGTGACAAAGATTTGGGGCCTTAATTTGTTAGAAAGATTTAAAATTCTGTTATTTTACTAATACTATATGGCCTATCTCTGAGTATCTCAGTCGATCAGTATCTGTGTGACCGCTTTTGTAAATTGTAACTTTGTATACTCGATCAATAGCAATAAGTGTGAAACTTTAAAATTAGATAGATAACAACTGATAAGCTATAGAAAAACTTACAATAATAGGTAAGTGAAATGAAATGAAATGGGGTTAATGTCTTACTACTACTACTGTTCTTTAATAAAATCAACTGGGCTAATGAATACGGCATGCACTATGTATATACACTATATGCTATGCACAGGCACTCCAAGGGATTAAAATTTCTTAGTTACTACAATAGGTTGTAGCCTAACCTGTAGTACACTTCTCAATGTAGTATCTACTGACAATACAGTGAGCGAATCGTAATAACCCTTGGCCAGCGAAGATGATACAGTGTAAGAAGTTTTATTTCAATCCCTTCAAGTGCCTGTGGTGCTATGGGGTAAATTTTTCCCGGACAACAATGATTTGCTACTCAGCATTAAATTCCAACAATCAAGTGCTCTTTTACGTTTACGACAACCACTTTATTTCATTCCAACGACATACACGCTTATGCTAGGTCCGTATTATGCACCACTGACATGGGGAAACCATGCCAGAAAACCCTAGCTAACTATAAAAATCTTTTTTTGCCAACATTTTTAAATTAATTTCTCTGCTTGATAAAGATAAGAAAACCCTAATTGTCGAAATGTCGCCAGAAATAAATCTTTCAAGTAACTTGTATTCTATATAATTGTGTTATGTGTTATTTTTAGATTAAATAATCTGTTCTCTATTTTCAGAACTACATTATAGAATAATTATTTTACCATCATGTTTTCAAATGCTGAAGGAAAACTTTTTCAGTATAGAAACTGTAGAATCTTAAAAGATCATAAAATCTATACAGAAGATTTGTGGGTTAGAGATGGTAAAATAGTAAATCCAGAAAAAATTTTCTTTGAAGAAAAAATCTTAGCTGATTATCAGATTGATTGTAAGAATAAAATCTTAGCTCCTGGTTTTATAGAAACGCAAATCAATGGTGAGTGATGTCTATTTTAATATTGAATTTTTTTTTAGCTAAAATGTGATCAATAATGGAATAGGTTGAGGGTCTTGTTGACACATTGTTCAGATTATTTTGAGACTGACAGCTGTGTGAAACTGGAGGACCAGGAGAAAACCCATGATATTGGGCAGGCGACCCTACTCCTTGTCACGTACAACCAGGGAATCAAAATCACGGCAGTTGACAGACCTTATGATACAACGCGCACGCGCTAACCATTCGGCCATCCAACCCCCAAGTTTGCTTGGACAAAATGGTGGTTTTTTTTTAACTTTCCTTTGAATTTCTACTTAAAAGCAAGCCTGGATTATAATATATATATACTTGTGTGATAATTCGTGTTTGACAAAGATTGTGTCAGGTGCCTTATGTACAGACTTGTATATATACATTGTGTGATAATTTGTTCTTAGTCTGTGACAGGTGCCCTATATCCAGACTTGCTTTAAAGATCTTTTATGTGCATCGTACACTGTTGGTTGGTACACAGGATCTTGGTTTATCATATCATTCAAACGACTGGACATTGCTTTTCTTGTCAGCCCAGCCAATGAGAATTGGCTTGAAGAATCCCAAATGTTCTTCTTGGCTGGAATTTGAACCTGGTACACAATCACTTCAATATTACACACTCTGAATATGGAATATTAAAATAGTATTAGCCCTTTGATTTGGGTAAAAAATGAAATCGTATATTTTATTTGCTGATTTGTCGAGTGGAAAGAAAATTGTCTGCTGTTTAGTATTCCAAAACAAAAATATAATAACATAATTCTGTCCCATCACTAATTTGGAAAAAGGTTACCAAATTCAAAATGTTAGTGTTTTTAAGAGATCGCTACTGCTAGTGTTTGATACTTTTTATTCTTTCATCTTTAAAGGTGCATTTGGTGTTGATTTTTCTCAAGAAGAAACAATAATTAATGGTGGTATTGGTAAGGTGTGTAACGGACTATTAGAGCAGGGCATTACGTCTTTCTGTCCAACAGTTATAACTTCTCCATCGCTAGCTTATAAAAAGGTAATTCGCTCTAATTTAAAGTAGCCAAGTCTTTAACTCATTATCATCCACAGGCTTCGACATTAAAAACACAAATTATTTGATAGTTTAAATCAACATTGATGTTGTGATCTTACCGGGAAAAGGTAGGCTTCTGATATCCAATATTTATGACAAAATAAACATATTACCATTGGTACACGAATCGTGTACCATCATGCGTTTCAATGCCATTTGTAACAAGGGACTCGAAGAACGAGGCTAGACATATTCCACATGTCATGTCTCTTATCTAGAGAGCATGCGAAATAAATACCATCAGTTTAGACTGGAATAACCAGATGCTAGAGATTGCCATCCAGTTGAGATTTTTCGCGTATTTTGCCGAACATAACTGATTTGAAATTAGAGTATAAATGGAAACGATTGAATGTAAGTCAGTTTATATACAATCGTATTACATTATTATATGCGCTGGGACCCATTTGTGTCAATTTCATGGTGCCAAATATTAGCGATTTAGCTCCCTTAACAATAAAACCACAGTCTGTAGCACAGTTTACCTGATTGACAAATCCACAGATACACAGATACTCTTTCAAATTTTTCAGTTGATATTAAAGATACATTATATGAGATAAGACAAAGAGCTGACAGTTCTCACTATGATAGTTAAAAACTAGATAATGTAAATGGACAATGCTAAAAATTTCAGTCAAATTGTTTCACTCGTAAGCCGAGAAAACCTTGTAGCCTCGATTGTCATTGTTGCTGCTGACTCAATTATACATTTTTGCATTTATTCATCAATGGAGTGTTAAACAGCAGATAGGATTCAAATCCTAAAGAATGACCTGCAATAGGCAGATTTAGCTCTTGCATAATGTATATTTAAGTTCTCTTGAATAAAGCACTTGTATAAAGGAATGTTTACTTTCTATGTAGACTAAACTTTGTGAAATTGTATGTTACATGTACATGTATGCTACAGTCCTGTATTAAAGTAAACAAAGACGGTAATGTTGTTAACGGTAGAGATGAAAATTACAAACATTGTAACTAGGTCAATTTGAAACTAAAACTAAAGTGGGTGTGACTAATGCATCAATCTATTCAAATAGTTAGTTATGTATATTGTGATGGTATTGCAAAAACTTAGTTTTCAAAATCTAAATAGTCCATATAAGAATATGATTTATAATTATACGGTACTCATGGATTTAATTTGGAAACCATTATTAAACATACATTATGCAAGAGGTAAATCTGCCTATTGTGGGTCTTTCTTTCAGTGGCGGTGCCAGGGGGGGCGGTGCCAGTGGGGGGGGGGGGGCGGGGGGGCAAGGGGGGTCTGCCCTCTGTTTGCCGCCCCAATAATTTTAGAAAGTAAAAAAAAGTATTTGTGATACCTTCTACGGTGAATAAGTCCCACATCCACACTCAGTCATAAACTTTCATGTTGAGAAGCATTTCCGACAGTCTATTTTTCAAAATTTTCTACTACTTTGGCGCTAAGGGGAATTCGTTGAGGTTCGCAAGTCCGTTCGTTTGACATTTTGTTCTCTAGTTGGATAAACTAGTGATCAGGCGACGGACGGTATCTGGTCAGATCTATTTATCTCGACAATCGGTGCCTGACAGAATACTGTAAGACAGCATTTCCGACAGTCTATTTTTCAAAATTTTCTGGAGAAGGACTCCCTACTTTGACGCTCGTGAGTGGGCTTCGTCATGATTCGCAAGTCCGTTCGTTTGACACTTTACCTCGTCGTTCAGTGCCTGAAATACTGCCAGGCTGCATTTCCGCCAACCTGTTTTTCAAAATTTTCTGGGGAGGCCCCCTACCTCTATTTGAAGCTTGTGCCTTTGCCCCCTTAACCTTGGACTTTGCCCCAGCTTTGCCCTCCAATCACCGACGGCTGGCGCCGCCACTGCTTTCTTTAGGCCTAAAATGTTATATAAATTATTAATTAGACATTAATTAACATGGAAAGACCTTAATCAACTCTCGATGCCATCTTATGTGTCCGACTTTCACTGGATTTGAATTTGATCTGCTGTTCAATGTCTGTTGATGATTAAACGCAAAAATGGATAATTGAGACCTTGTTGATTATTGTGACAGCGGTAACAATGACAATCAAGGCTACTGTGATTTTAAAATAAGGTTTTCCTCGGCTTGGGAGTGAAGCACTTTGTCAAAAATTTTCAGCATATTCCTTTTACATTATCTAGTTTTTAATGATTATAGTGAGAGCTGCCAGCTCTTTATCAAATCTTCCATGATGTATCTTTAATTTTTATATATATCTACGGCTATAGTTTATTATGTTAATATTATGAAAATGGAGCCTTCAGTAAACTTTATATAATTTATTTATTTACGAGGTAGCAATGAAACTGTGTTGAAGTGGAATCCTATAATACTGATAAACATGTTATAATAGTAGACCTATAAATCTTTTTTATTATAGATCTTACCTTTAATAAAGAAAACTAAAGGTAGTAAAGATGGTGCTGGTATTATAGGTAAAATATTATATATAACATATTAAGGAGGGGTGTGGGTAAGATATTATATATAGGCCTAACATATTTAGGAAATGAAATGAAATGGGGTTTAACGTCCTACTGTTCTGCTCCTAACCTTGGCTAATGAAGACGGGCATACGCCATACAGTGTGCTATGAGGGAAATTTTGCCCGGGCAGCGGCGCTACGGCCTATTTTTATATCGAAATCCAACTGCCAAGGGATCTTTTAAGTGCATGCCAATGTGTACACGGGACCTGTGGGCGGACGGTAAAATATTATATATAACATATTAAGGGGGGTGAGATCAAGTAATCCTAATAGTAACCGTGATACCCAGACTATAATATTGTAACAAGAGTTTATCACTGTTCAAAGTATTTTCTTTCAATAAAATAATTTAACTTTTTTCCGCCTCGCCTCCTGATCTCAATGAGACTGGGGAGCCACAGTGGATAAGTGACTAAGACACTGGCTCGCTAGCCCGGAGGTCGCGTGTTCGATCCCTGCATTGCCAGAGGTGCAGGATGGAAGGCCTGACAAGGACAGCTGTCTAGTTGTTCGAATGTACCGAAAACCGAGGTCCCGTGTATACATTGGCATGCACATAAAAGATCCCTTGGCAGTTGGAATTTGATATAAGAGTAGGCCATATTGCCGCTGCCCAGGTAAAATTTCCCTCATACATGTAGGACACTGTATGGCGTATGCCCGTCTTCATTAGCCCAGTCGGAGCAGAACAGTAGGATGTTAAAGCGATAATTTCATATTTTTAAGTTATATTTTTAAAATGTATTTAAAGCCTTAAAATAGATGGTATCTGTAAACAGTCCTACCTTGTTAAAGAATAATCCTATTAATCCTATAATTCCCTATTGCCAGTTGAGAAATTGGCAAAATTATCATTTTCAACTTCAAATTCAAACGTTTGAAGATAGCTATTCCATGGGGGGGGGGGAATAGAAAAACAAGGGAGGTAATTGTGTTATTATTTCTGGGGTGAATGGTTTTTAAGTGTGAGAATGATAATGATACCTATGATCGTATAATAGTGAGTTGACAACCTATTGTGCAAAAGACATAGAAATAATTATGTTTTAACTTTCTTAGAAAATATGTTATTCTCGCTTTAAGCCCCATCTCATTTTCATTTCATTTCTCAATGAGACTATTTGGTCCTGGAGTTGAGCATAAAGTTAATTTGTCTACTTGTTTTGCTTTACACTATGTATTGAGAAGCAAGGTGGTTATTATAATGCATGCTGTAAATATTAATTAATAGGAACTACATGTAAATTTCCTGGAATGGATTCATAATGATTTGTAATAATAACATCATAGGTTGCTAAAATGAAAGATTAGTTCTGCTTGAATGCAATAACTTCTGTTGAAGTATGATTTTACCTTGCTTTGTTCAAAACATTGTTAATTTGTATTTAGGTGTCCACTGTTATATTATAAAAATATAGTTTGAAATTGAATAATAATGTGTTGTTTTTTAAATTTAGGTGTTCATGTTGAGGGACCATTTATTAGTAAAGAAAAGAAGGGTGCCCATCAGGAAGAATTAATACAGACATTTGACAATGGTTTTAAAGATCTCATTGATATGTATGGTGATTTGTCTAATATAGCAATTATAACTTTGGCACCAGAATTACACAATTCTCAACAAATAATCAAAGAATGTGTAAACAGGGGAATCATAGTTTCTTTAGGTAAGTATCACCTCAAAATAATTACTCACTGACATGCCTGAAGCACCCTATGATACATGAGAGTTAGCCCCCTTTTGTCATTCACTGTCATTTACCCCGTTTGGACAAATATTATTTCTTTAGGTAAGACCTCCCATTCCCTCACTGATTAATTAGAATTCATTTTGTTAAAATTTTATCAAATCCAATCTGATTAAAACACAGATACTATTTCGTTTCATTTTTTATAGTTCAAAATTTCATTTTACTTGTCTTGTCTTCACTTCACTAGGGGCTGGAAGAGTTGTTATATAACCCGTGTTCTGGATGATGTGAGGGATTAGCCAATGAAACAGTCCTTTACGGCAAGTTTTTGGTATGAGTTGCACAGGACTGTGGGTAACCCACTAAAACATCAACGCTGATTGGTTAATCATATGTCGGACATCATAGGGTCAAAAGCCACTCGTATTACCTCTGATGCGAAATCCTACTGTGAGTTGCACAGGACTGTGGGTAACCCACTAAAAACATCAACGCTGATTGGTTAATCATATGTCGGACATCATAGGGCCAAAAGCCACTCGTATTACCTCTGACGCGAAATCCTACTACAACTGGTCAAATCGTTATGTAGAGTAAGCCATCGAAAGTATAAAAAAAACGAAACGAAATATAGATCTGTATTTTAAACAGATTGGATCAAATGTTGAGTGCTTGAAAGGAATGGAGTGCAACTTTGTATTGCAAGGTTTGCGAGTAGGATTTTTCTGTATAGATCTATCACACGTAACAGTGGTGGTATAGCCGTGGCTTACCTGTTCCGTTATCAATTTCAGGTCATTCTATGGCTAATCTTGTAACAGGAGAAGAAGCAATATGGAATGGTGCCTCTTACGTTACACATCTTTTTAATGCTATGTTACCTGTAAGTTTATTGTTGATAAATTTATTAGTGAGCCATATTCAGTTACATGGAGTTATTGCCCTTGTTTGGATATTCTTGTAGGCTAATGGTTACAGTTTTAAGCTATTTTCATGTTAGTGCTTTGGAACAAGCCCATCAAATTATAACAATTTCTTGTAATTACGTCATGCATTGTTGCCCTGATCACATTTTAGTTTTGCCATGTAAATATAATATACCTGTGTCATATTCTATGGAAGAACAACAATGCCACTGTTTTTCATTTCCATAATCAAGTCTTTATGGACTGATGTGATGACTTGACTGCAGAGTGTATTTTTCATTGCCTGGTAACCTATCTGTTTTTCAGTTTCATCACCGAGATCCCCATTTAGTAGGTTTACTAACGAGCAATAAATTACCACCTGATACACAGATATATTATGGTATAATAGCAGACGGCATACATACACATCCTGCAGCTTTACGTATTGCACAACGTATTAACCCTAAAGGTATTAATTATAAATAATAAATTTGCACCATACAGTGTGCTATGAAGGCAGGCATACACCATACAGTGTGCTATGAGTGAAATTTTGCCCGGGCAGTGGCACTATGACCTACTCTTATATCAAATTCTCACTGCCAAGGGATCTTTCATGTGCACGCCAATGTATATATGGGTCCTCGTTTTTTTAGTCCCATCCGAACAACTAGACAGCTGTCCTTATCAGGCCCCCCCCCCCCCCATCGTCCTGCACCATTGAAAAGGGGAAACCACTCCGGAATATCCTGATGAATTTTCTCGGCCAATGCCTTTGTTTATTTGTGGTTTCTGAGTATGATGTCTTGTCCATGTATTTGTTTCTATGTAAATTATGTGTGGTGCAGTCCCCCTGCACTTACTATTATACATAGATCTATTAAGAATAAGTATTTAATTGTAGGTTTGGTATTAGTGACTGATGCTATACAGGCCATGGGTTTACCTGAAGGTAAGTATAAGTTTGGCTGTCAACAGATAGAAATAAAAGATAACAGAGCTACTGTAGCTGGTACAAATACATTATGTGGAAGGTAAATTATAGTTTTATTTATTGATTGGAACCAGGGATCGTATATTTATTATATTTACCAGCCATGACTGTATCATAAGGGGGGGGTGGAGAGAGAGAGAGAGACAGAGAGAGAAATTGGGTTTAACGTCCACTCGACACGAACTAGGTCATTTTGGGACTAACATATGGTTCAATTTTATTTTAATAATTTACTTGCGTGTAGGGGTCTTTAGCAGTCGGAGGACCAAGAGAAAACCCACGAGGAAGGACACGCGACCCTACTCCTTGTCACGTACAACCAGGGAATCGAAACCACGCCAGTTGACTCAATGACAGACCTTATGATAAGGAATTCAACCGTAAGACACAATTATTTAGTTAAATTCAGAATCGTCCATAAGTTTTATCGAGAGATGTTGTCGCTGATACCGAAACATTTAATATAATCTAAGGGTCAAAATTTAGTGTTGTGCAAGGATTTTTTACAGAGTTACTGCCCCTATTATCTAAAAAAAACTTTTTTCTTCAACTTACTTGGATGGACCTCATGGTTACTAAGTTAGTATCTTACTCGCCTCCGTTTTATACAGTGTTTTTAATATAAGTTTGAATGGAGTGGCGTGGCTTCGACTCTCCCCTTGTCTAACAATTCTATTTTTTTATAATTCACAGTATAGTATCTATGGATAAATGTGTTCGACAGCTTGCCAAATCTACAGGTATGTACTTAACTGATATATTGTTAGTTTAAACAGGGAAGTGGTATGATATTGTATTGTTATCAATTACTGTGTATTTCTGGAGATAATTTGTAAACTTTAACCCTTGCGTTAAGAAGTTACATTATATTCGTGTAGACTGGAATAACCAGACGCTAGAGATTGCCATTCGATTGAGACTTCTGGACTATTTCGCCAAACAGAACTGATTACAAATTACAGTAAAATACAGAAACGATTGAATGTGAATTAGTTTATATACATTAATATTACATTATTATATGTATTGTGACCCATTTGTATCAATTTCTAGGTCCCAAATATTAGCGATTTAGCTCCTTTAAAGATGGGTTCCTGCATACAAACTGGGTGATTTAATGGTATACATGGACTAAAAACATATTCAAACAAATTAATTTGTCATAATTTTGCTTCAAATCCTTCTCAAACAATGTAATTGCGAAGGAATGTCCTGCTATAAAAATTTGATCAAACCAGGTCATGTTTACGTCACTTGACTTACCTCTCTTGGAAGTCAGAGGAGAAATCATTGCATACATGAGACGATGTTGTCTTTAATCGCTTACTATTTATTACAAATATCAAATCCTAATTAAATTCTCGGATTATCCACTACCTGCGTCTTTTTCCGTCATTTTTATCTCAGAAAGTGTTGTACGTCTAACTCTTCATAAAGTTTATCAACTTGTACATCAAGCGCTTAATGTTCCTGTGTGACCTTTGATATCACGCGTGCAGAAATTCCTAATCGTCGGGCTGTCGATTAGGGGAACCCCTACATTTTTGTCCTGTATACGCTCCATGAGTGTTTTTCAGGGAATCCAGTGTTTTTCAGGGAATCCAGTATTTTTCTAGTAAGATAGGATATCTCTACTTTCCATATATACCAAAATTGCCCTACTTTTATTGGAAATAACCACCCGATAAATACTTTTCTGAGAACCCATCTTTAATGCAATCAAGTATTTTACATCAACATTACGGAGTAATTTGATGTATTTCAGAATGTGGACATGTTCTTGCATTAGAAACAGCATCTCTCCATCCAGCGAAAGTTCTTCAAATATCAAATAGTAAAGGAACGTTAGATTTTGATACTGATGCTGATTTTATCCTACTGTCTGAAGATCTCCATATTCAAGCGACATTTATAGCAGGAGAATTAGTGTGGCAGCGATCAGGAGATGTTATATCTGTCATAACTAGAACGGATTAAACACTAACCCTAACCCTTGTTAAATCTATTTATAGCTGGGGAATTAGTGTGGCAGTGATCTGGAGATGTTATATCTGTCATAACTAGAACTGATTAAACCCTAACCCTAACCCTTGTTAAAACTATTTATAAATTGTTACTTAAAGACGAGAAATGAATGTGACCCACCATACCCTACTCTAGTCTAAAATGATTGTGTCTTCTTGGAAATTATGGGTTGTTAGGTGGCCAAGTTGTCTAATTCATGTGCTGTAGATGATATGGCCTGGTCTCCCGAGTTCAAAAAGCATTATCAGACTTAAGTTAAAGATGCATTATGGGAGATTAGATACAGAGTTGACTGTTCTCGTTATAATAGTTAAAAAATACAAAACGTAAATAGAAGATGTTGAAATTTCAGTCAAATTGCTCCACTCTGAACTGAGATATTAGCGATTGAATTTTAAGCCTAGCCTCGATCATCATTACTAAAATAGTCTCGATTATCCATTTTTGGATTCCAATCCAGTGAAAATCTGACACGTAAGATGACATCGAGAGTTGATTATGGTTTGGATGAGTTAATTATTGTCTAATTAATAGTTTAATATCTTTCATCCAAAAACACAAAACTTTGCACATATTTTGTTATTGATGTATTTGATACATTAAAACAACAAAAGTTTTATAAAGGGCTATATTTTAGTTAAAATAAGGTGACAATTTTGTGTAAATTCTTAATTTAAGTCTGAGAATGCTTTATGAACTCAGGATCTGGTATCGATACAAGTTTGAACCACACCCATTCCATGTATGACAATTTAAGGGTTAACAACTCCATACTTCATTTCTTGTTAGAAAAAAAGAAAAGAAAAATGCTTCATAAAATTAATGCATGGCTTTATTTGCTCAAACTGATATCTTGTATTATTGTATAGTATTACATGTAGATGTTATTGCTAATCTCTATATATATATTTGAGACTGTCGTTTGTCTGTCTGTCTGTCTGTTCGGGGTTGGCGGCTACACTAGGTCTGCCCCGAGTCTGAAATTTGGGGTATAGGGGTAGCTCGGACTGGGGAGTAGCATAGGCCAGGTGGCGTTAGTCTACCACTTCCGGTTTTGGACTTACGACCCCCGAGCGAAGCCGGGTATCCTGCTAGTTATTTATATTGTTAATGGGTAAAACCCATTCTCGGTAACTGCAGTGTTCTCATTCCGCTTCATTCCACTATACCCTGGGTTCATCCATGGGGTATTCACTTATTTAAATTATCTGCCCTTGATTGTAGATTGATGCTACGAACTAATCAAAAAACAGTTTACACACCAGTTTTAGCCTCATTGTTTACGTTCACAACAATATGGTGGCTTGTTCACTCGATTAGAAGAAAATTTGCAAGAAATTTAATATCAAAGAAGTGACATACACACAAAAAGGTGTCCTAAAAAATCTTTTTGATTGGAACGATGTTTTTATGTCGTTCAAAACAGGCAGTGGCAAGTCGTTATGCTATCAAGTGTATTGGTTGATAAAAACAGCACAATCATCAAGGGCAGATAATTTGAATATGTGTCTTCCCCATGGATTAACCCAGGGTATAGTGGAGTAGAGTGGAATGAGACCACTGGGGATACCGAGGACGTATATTGTAGACGTATATTGTTGTCGCCCCTGTCTGTTTGTCCGCCAGTATCTCCCAAAGATCCTGGTTTCTCTCGATATTGGCATGTATCGGATCGTAACTTTATGGATTATGTCTCCTGATTTACGAAAAATCACATTTTTTGCTTGTGGACGCTCTGGTGGTCACACTTTTTATCTGATTTATAAAAAACGTTTAAATATATCAATGTTACACCATTATTATGGTTGAGTTCAAATTTCGTGAAAAATCGGACCAAAACTGCCCATCAAAATAGCCGCTCCTCGAATGAAGATTGTGTAAAAGTATGTTGTGGACCTGCTAGAGGTCACAATTTTTATCCGATTTTAATGAAACTAAAAATATTTGTTTAAATCCCAAAGATCTCAGTCCCTTTCGATATTTGCACATTTCAGACCATAACTTCTTGGATTATGGCCCCTGATTGTATGAAAAATCGCGTTTTATTTTTAGATTGTTCTCTATCCATCTCTTGCAAAATGTGGGCGTATCTTGCCTGGCAACCACTATTCTTTTAAGTTATACAACTTTGTAATGCAAGTACCTTTCTTGGTTATACTGTTGCTATCAATTTCTCCACTCTTCACCCAAATTCTCCACTTGTCATAGACATGCTGATTGTCACATTCCGCTTTATGGTGTTAAACCACAGTCCGCCGTTCACAACACAATGCTTAGTGTTATTGAAAGTTACGCTAAACTAGTGAAGTTAAATTTTCAAAAAATAAATTCAAAGAGCTTATGCTATATATCTTGCCCTAGTATCATCTATTCTTATAACATTGCAATATTTATTCGAAAATAAAATATAAATAATTATTACTTTATGGTTTTAATTTGTATGTTTCTGGATGAGATAAAACATAAAATCTGATTAAAATACAGATCTATATTTCGTTTCATTTCTTTTACTACATGCAGATCTGACCAGTTGTAGTGGGAGGTCGTGTCAGAGGTCATACAAGTGGCTTTTGGCCCTATGACATCAGATATTTGATTAACCAATCAGCGGTTGATGTTTCTAGTAGGATACCCACAGTTCCGTGCATCGCACGCCAAGAACTCGATGCAGTAGACTGTTTCATTGGCTGATCCTCCACATCAACCAGAACGCGGTTATATAACAACTCTTCCAGATCCTAGTGTAATAAAGACAAGTAAAACAAAATTTTGAACTATAAAAAACGAAACGAAATAGGATCTGTGTTTTAATCAGATTGTAAACTTTCCAGTGATTTAGATCATAGATCTGCCATTAAGCCAAGTGTTGGATTTCGGTCTCAATTTTATACGTGACTAGCGGTAACGTTGTCTGTCCAACCTTGTGGGTTTTATCCAGGTCCTCAGGTGTCACAACACTGCTGTGTTTTATGGAATACAATTACTAGCTTTACAACTTATCATTAGTCATTATACAATTACTAACTTTACACCTTAACATCAGTCATTATACAATTACTAGTTTTATTACTTATCATCAGTCATTATACAATTACTAACTTTACACCTTAACAACAGTCATTATACAATTACTAGTTTTACTACTTATCATCAGTCATTATACAATTACTAGCATTACAACTTGTCATTATACAATTACTAGCATTACAACTTATCATTAGTCATACAATTACTAACTTTACACCTTGACATCAGTCATTATACAATTACTAGCTTTACACCTTATCATTAGTCAGTATTCAATTACTAGCTTTACAACTTATCACCAGTCATTATACAATAACTAGCTTTACTACTTATCATTATACAATTACTTATAATCAGTCATTATATAATTTCTTACTTTACAACTTATCATCAGCCATTATACTATTACTAGCCTTACTACTTACCATCGGCCATTATACAATTACTAGCTTTACAACTTATCATCAGTCATTATAAAATTACTAGCTTTACAACTTATCATCAGTCATTATACTAGCTTTACAACTTATCATCAGTCATTATACAATTACTAACGTTACAACTTATCATTAGTCATTATACAATTACTAGCTTTACAACTGAACTCCAGTCATTATACAATTACTAACTTTACTACTTATCATCAGTCATTCATCTCACATTAAATCCAAGAATTGTATTCCATAAAAGTTTTCTAATATTTGAAATAACCAACTGCAAAATGCCACTTGAACAATATTTTCTGGATAAAATTCTTAAAATGTTATGCAGATACTTTATATATGCCTGTTGGCTTGTTAACACGATAGAGGACGAACCCTATTGATATTTATATTTCCGCGACTTTCTGCTACATGCTACAGAGTCTTCCCCCCACCCCACCCCACCCTTTATTGAAAATCTGTGTGATAGCAGCTACGTTATTAACAAATAACAAATTTATTTTTTAAATTTGGTGGGAAGCATTGGGGTCATGAGATTACAAACTACTGATATTTAGTCATACTCGACCTACCTATCCGGAGATGCCCCCCTTTTATGAAAACAGTGTTAGTACAATAGATGCTACAGTTTTGAACTGATATGGGGGTTGGATGGCCGAATGGTTAGCAGATGCGTGCTGTATCATAAGGTCTGTCATTGAGTGAATTAGCATGGTTTTTATTCCCCGGTTGTACGTGACAAGGAGTAGGGTCGGCTGTCCAACCTCCTGGGTTTTCTCTGGTTTCCACCCACTGCTGAAGACCCCTACACGCAAGCAAATTATTGAAATAAAACTGAATCATATGTTAGTCCCAAAATGACCTAGTTTCTGTCAAGTGGATGTTAAACCCCATTTCTTTCTCTCATTTGAACAGATATTTTTCAAATTTGGTGTGAAGCACTGGCTACATGAGAGGAAGTGGGGGGGGGATGGCCAAATGGTTAGCGTATCAGCAGATCTTTCATTGAGTCAACTGGCGTGGTTTTAATTTGAAGGTTGTAAGTGACATAGAGAAGGGTCGCCTGTCCAATCTCGTGGGTTTTCTTTGGGTCCTCCAGTTTCCTCTCACTGCTAACATTGGGGTCATGAGATAGTAGAAACCCTATTGATATTTAGTGTTCTGCAACCTTCTGTTCCACAGTTACCCACCCCTTTTTTCTAAAAACCTTCTTAACATGATAGAGACTACAGTTTGTAACGGCTTAACCCTATTGAATTTTAAATTTGGTGTGAAGCATAGGGATTTAATAGGAATAGGATGAACCTTGTTAATTTTCATCATTACAAGAGTTGTTCCAGAGATATATTATGTGTCCAATAGAGGTTAGATTTCTTGAATGCATAAAGGACCATTATTAAACTTGGATAAAGCCACTGTCTATATTTTTGTCGTGATGTAGCAGCTGTGTGGGCACATTTCCATGTGAATACTTTCTCTAGAAGTCAAACATCCCACGCTACCTTTCACAGCAATTTTACATTATCATATGCTCTTTTATGACCCAAGCACGTCTTACTAAGATGTTACATGAATGTTCCACCATATTGTACCTTCGACTGGATAATCCATGTGACAGTTTCAGAAACTGCTCGACTTTTATTGACTGGTCCTAATAGTAAGATTGCACATTTTTTTTTTCGCTGCTTTTGAAATCTGATTCAGGGAGCTGTGGAGGCTAAGTGAAAAAGCACTGGCAAAATAATCAATTCCGGGTTCCCATAATTTTCCAGCATGGTTTCTCCTTGTCATGTAGGATGGAAAAGGGCAGGCCTGACAAGGAACAGCATCTCGTCATTCGGATGGGACAAAAAAAAACAACCCCGAGGTCCTGTATACACTTCCGCATGCAAGTAAAAGACCCCATTGCAGTTGGAAATTAATTCCAATAGTTGTCTGGATAAAATTTCCCACAAAGACCACTGCATGCCCAAATTCATTAGCCCAGTTGACGCAGAAAAGTAGGACATTAAAGCCCATTTCATTTATTCATTCAAGTTGCTGTTTCAGCAAATTTCACAATGTCTATGCAAATATCCTGCTAAGTATTATCGTATGATAAACAGAATGTCCCCAATAATAATGACTATTCATTCTAACTATAAAATATAGAAATTCACAAAATGTTGAAAACAAAATCATTTAATAAATATTATCATTATTCATTACATATATAAACATACAAAAAAGTACAAAAGCTGCACATTCATAAGCATACAAAACATTCAGAGTAAAGGCTATACATTCATAAAGATACAAAAGCTGTTATCATTTGTTATGTATTATTAGATAAAATGTTATTGATCTATAAATTTCTCATAAAAATATCTGTAGAAAATATATATATTGATACATTCATAAAATGAGGTATTATTGCTTATTTATATACTAAAAATGTTGTAAAAAAGGGTTAATCTTTTGTTAGATATAAATATAAGTAGATAAATTTTTCATATAAATATCAGTATAAAATATTATTCATATTCTTAAATGAGTATATTTCTAAAATGAGATATCTTTATTTTAAAAAAAAAAGAAATGCTGTTTTCATAAAAATATATACTTCTGTACTTTTTCAATAAGCGTTGGCCATGCAAGATACGCCCACAATTTGCAAGAGATGGACAGAGAACGAGCTAAAAAAAAGAATGTGATTTTTTGTATCCAGGAAGTTAGGGTCTGATATGAGCGAATATCAAAAGGAACCGAGATCTTTGGGTTATAAACATAAATTTCAAGTTTTATCAAAATCAGATGAAAATTGTGACCTCTAGTGTCCACAAGCTAAAAGCATGATTTTTCGTACAATCAGAGACCATAATCCATGAAGTTATGGTCCGATACATTTGAAAGGAACCAAGATCTTTAGGAGATAGACCTATATTTCAAGTTTCGTCAAAATCAGATAGACTGTCCACAATCATATGTGAACAGACGCATGGATACACGGATGGGCAGGTGCGACCACAGTATACATCCACATGAAAATGTGCGCGTATAAAAACACATCTATAAAACTATGTATAAGTAGATTAATTTTTTATATAAACATCTGTATAAAATAATAATATATATATTATTCATTTTCCTAAACAAGTATATTTCTAGAGTATATTTCTAAAATGAGATATTTTTACTTTAAAAAAAAAATTAAAAAAAATGGTATTTTCATAAAAATTTATATGCTTCTTTACCTTTTCAAAGAATGTTATTGTTTTATAAAATTTATAAAAACTGTTATCAGGCCCGTAGCTACCGGGGTGGCAAGAGGGGCACGTTGGGTGTTGGCTTCGTATTGCATCCAATGGAACGGGCGCCTAAGGTACCATTGGGTGCGCCAATTTTTCCCAGGGGAGGCAGCTGTCTCTCTTGCCCTCCCGCTAGCTGCGGACCTGGTTATCAGAAGTAGAATCAAGAATTGACTGTTAAGCTTATTTTATTTTGGAAATGAAAACCTTTTCATGGCATTGCTAATTATCACTAAAATGATAACATTTTGAAATATTTTGTAAGATAAAGGGTATTTACGTAATTTGTAAGCTTTTTGAACAGATGCACAGCACAGAGGGACATTTCATTCTTGCGTAATAATATTGAGTTACCCGAATGTATCCCTTGAACGAATATTTTGCTTACATAACATTTCATTCTCCCAATGAAGAAGCTTAAAGGTCACAAATATACATCACATGTATATATTATATTACTAGAAAGACTGTTGTAATAATCTAATATCGCAAATCCGAGCACATAAACCTATTTTATAATAGCTATATTAAATGTCTTGCATGTATCAAAGTAATTTCAGAAATAAAAATATTGTTCAAACACAAATGTACAAAATTTCACAGCTTCGCAAACTTTCAAATATAAATTAAGGCTGGTATCAGGTGTTCTATACAGAGTAAGCAT